CACCTGTTCATAATATGCTGATTTTCCCCCAAAGAACTGGTGTTTTTATTTTCCATGTACTTATGTGGAATGTTCACAGCACAATAGAGGAGAATTCTGGCAGATAAAAGCCTGGTTCTGTAGTTCTCCAGTTCCTTGGTTCTTAGGTATATTAGCAGGTTTGTTGGTGCCAATGATTAATGCCAAGCTTGTGCATGCATTTATAGAAATAGAGCCTTCAACAACACATGGAGCACAGCAGTTTCTTTAGAGTTGATGAAGAAAAGAAAACCTCCCTTTTTATTTTCTATTGTAGTATTTTAAAAATATCACCAGTCTTGATGGACTGTCCTGATAGAAYTGAACAGATAGCTATGGACATCCCAGACTTAGAAATCAGTAGTCATATTTGCGTGACCAAAGGACGTGGATTCCCCAGTTTAATTTCTTCTTCACAGKGACACAGAACTAAAGTGATCCTTGAATTATCTCCCTGCCTTCTTTTGGATTTAGAGGTTATGCACAGATAGAAATAAATGCATAGGCAAAAGACTTATACTTTGGGGAAACAACTTTAAATACTCCCAAAAACAAACAATCCCAAAAAACCCTCTTCGTAGAGGTTACTGAAATCATGAGCTTCCCTGTGAGCCTGCCGCGTGTGGAGCTGACCATGGGCTTGTTGGCTGCTGGTGCTTTGATCTGTTGAGGATTCCGTGGCAGTCAGCCCTGGCATCACCAGGAGCAGCCCTGGGCAGTGAGGGTGAATTTCTGACCCTGCTGAAGCAGAGCTGCAAGCCACARTTTCTGCCCTGAGACCATCAGGAAGGCAGCAGCTCTGCTGCTCGCTGTGGTGAGGTGCCAGGTTGTGTTTGTGAGGTTACATCCTCTGCTCAGGGGAATTAGACAATTACTGAATGTGRCTGACAGATCCATTCTGCCAGGGCTGCGTGGCTTTCATGGTGCTCAGTGCTGTTTGCGGAGAGAGCCACGGACAAGTCTGCGGGGTTGGACTGAATTGTTTTATCAGTGATTGTTGAGTGTCATGTGGAGGAGCACTTAGTTGTGAAGGCCTCACTGAATTATTTCTTGCCTGGCAGAGCCGTTTGCAGGGAGTTGGGGATTTCTCTGTCCTTTCTGGCTGCACCTACCTCCTCTGCATTTCTGTCTTAGCCAGCCTCAGTCTCCCTGCATTGAAACAACAGCAGAGCCTTGCCCCACTGGATTTTGGGTTCATTTCCATGCATTTGTTTCACTCCAGCTGCCTGCTGCTCTCTTGGGTACTTGAACCTATTCAGGGAGAGGAGCTCATTGATATAGGGCCTGATGGGAGGTATGGTGAATGCTGTGAACCAACAGCCTGGAGCTGTTTGTAGGAGCTGCGGCAGATTTTAACTCTGATTTTCTTTCTGCTTTGTAGGTATTTGTATAAAATGTGGAAAAGGTGTGTATGGAGCGAGCCAGGCTTGCCAAGCAATGGGTAACCTCTAYCATACCAACTGCTTCACGTGCTGCTCTTGTGGTAAGTCTGATCTGCTGTGCCCTTGTTCTGTGGCTTCCTTTGGTAATCATCTTCCTTTAGCAGCAAATGTACAAAGTCAGACCTCATCCTGCCTGCTTCCCCAGGCTAAATTCCCACACAAGGCTCCAGCTTAAAAGTTGTTTCTTTATTTGCCATCTGTAAGCGTTCAGTGGTGTTTTCCTAAGCAACAGCCCAGAAAAGTAGTGTTTGCTTGTTTGAAGGGCTSCAGTTATAAAATGGCTTCAACCTGGCTGTTAGGAGCACTATATGCTTTAAATCACTTGTGTTTATGTAACTGTAATGTGCATGTATCGTTTTTATAGACAAAAATAGTTAAATTTGTGCAGCCAAAACCACATTTTTGTCACTTTCTATTTGCAAATGCAAGTGCAGTCAAGCATGTGTATTTGTCATTTCTGTGTATGCACAGTGCTCAAAAATTGTTCTCTTATGGTTGAATGTGACAAGAAGGAATAGAAACTGTGTGTTGAAATGTCTTACGCTATTACAAGATTTTATTTTTGTAGGGGAAAACTGGATGGTAAATCACTGTCTCCTCCTTGCTGTTCTCAGGACTTTCTTAKGTTTCCCTTCTAATCTGAAAGAGMTGTTTCTCTGTGTGATTTGGCTTTGCCAGGAGAAACAGGACATGGAAAATTTAGGGCAGCAGTTTCAGAAGTGTGCCTTAAGCCAGGCATTGTGAACTTAGTTGGAAACTTTCTCAGTGTCTTGTCTGTAACTTTTGAGAGCTCAAAAATTCTCACCAACCTCTAAGGGAAGTTTGAGAGCTCAGTTTTCAGGAGCTGGGTGATTTTATGCACATGTCTGGTGAGGTTGCTTGTATGTGAAAATATCTGCCTGGATATTGATGATCTCATTGTGATACATAWACGCAGCAAAAGATTTATTCTGAGCAGAATATGCTGAGCACTGATTGTTTATAAAAAGGWTTAATTAAGGATTAGAAAAAGAGTAGAAGATTATTGGCATGGAATCAAATAAGTTGATAATCAAAAAAACATTGTGAAGTTCACTTCTGACAGGAAAAGTGTTGTCTTTTCTCCTGAGATTTGTRCTGATAACGATTGGTTTCAAGAAACCTGCAACCTGAACATAGAATGTAGTGACCTTTCTRAATTACTCTGGGCCATCACCAAATGAGAGGCTGAACTCACCTCAGCCCTGCAGGGATTGCTCCTGCCTTTGCTTGGGTATCAGTAAGGGAGTATCTGGTTTGTTGGTTCCCAAGTGAGCAGCGTCCTGCTTAGCAAAGGATTAGAAAATAGGGTATCATACAGTATCTGTCCACTCACGGCCAGCATTAAGTGAACCTAATTGCATGGGTGAATTCCAGCTTTCTCTCTGGGGCAGAAATGTTGTTTTAAGTACTCAGGCTGCATGTTTGCTACCGTCAATCTAGCATGTTTGCTACCGGGCATCTGTGTGCAGGTCACTGCTCCTAAGAAAAATGTGTAAGGGACAAGAAGTGTATTTCAACAGCAAAATACAAACACAATTGTTTAAACACACAKCAGGCTTTTCTGACTGTTGTGGTGAGGTGTGTGTGGCCAGTGTACACCTCCCATGGGGCAGCTTGAGACATGTCCTCTTGGAGCATCGTTTGCCGCACCCCACAGTGCCCTGGAATTCGGTGATTCAGGCAGCTCCTCGTGAGTCACACACGCACAGGGAGATGCTCCAGGTTGCCTTCTGAGCCTCTCCCCGTGCTGCTCTGGGCTGAAGGGCCCAGCTGTCATCCACCAGGAGGGTTCAGGAGTGAGAAGGGCTTGGCTTTCCTTCTGCCTGCAGCCTCTGGTCCAGCCCCACCGAGAGGGGAGTGTTTGGGCAGTGCCATGGCGAGGCACTGCAGAGGGGCCTGAATACAGCTGAAACACCTGATCAAAGCTGAGCTTTAGCTGCATTCAGGGYGGAGTCCAAAGCAGAGCTTTTCCCCTCAGCTCAGCTCTGAAATCGGATCCAATGGCATAGCTGGGAAGGGGGACTTRCATTAACTCTTTGGTTTCTCACTGTGTTTTGGGCTGTGTAGCCCATGGAAACCCCAGAGTGATTCAGGATGGTGCCAGTAGATCCAGAGCTCGGGACCAAGGCCTGCAGTCCTGTCTGGGAGCTGCACCCTTGAGAATKGGGCTGAAGAGGCTTTACAGGAGCTCTTGTTCGAGCAGCCAAATGGGGACTTCCTACTGTGCTGCAGGTTATGAACAGGGAGTTCCTTTTGTGACACTGTCAGCTTTAGGTTTAATGCCCACCTTTAAATGGATGAGAGTCACCAGAGAGGGCCCAGAAGAGCTCACACAGATGATTAAAGGCTGAAGAAAAGCTAATCACGAGAGCCCAGTGTATTTTGAGTATCTGAAATTACACGAGGGACACATGGCTGGAGCTTGTAAATACTCAAACCATAAAAGAGCATTAGAAAGTGGTCTCATATGTACTGGAGACAAACACAAGAGAGATCTCCTCTGGAGGCTGAAATTACACAATCCAAATAGGAAATCAAAGACAGTTTTTCTGCAATGAGGATGATTAACTGCTGGAACAAAAYAGCAAGAGAAGTGGCAGATTCTCTATTCTTCCTTGTTTTCAAATTAAGACCAAATGTTCTTTGGAGAATATTTTAAGTTGAGCCAAGCTTTAGGTAAATGGGTGACCATTAATGATCTTTGTTAGGCAAGAGGTCACAATACACACACTGGTGTTCCTTCTGAGCCTTTGGCAGGAGAGCAGAGAAGACCATTGCTTCTCTCTGCCTGAACCAGTGTCTGTGCTGTAGTTCCTGTGCATATTTATAGGGTGGTTGGCCCTGGCTGGACAGCAGGTGCCCACCTGAGCCTCTCTATCCCTGCCCTTYTCAGCTGGATGGGCAGAGAAAATGTAAGGAAAGGCTCATGGGTTGGGATAGAGGCAGGGAGAGATCCCTCAGCAGTTACTGACACAGCAAAACAAAACAAATTAACAAACAAATCAGAGAAGGATAATGAGAAATACAAACTAAACCTTAAAACATCTTCTCCTCACCCCTCCTTTCTTCCTGGGTTTAACTTTACTCCCAGTTTCTCCATCTCCTCCCCCAGGGGTGCAGGGGGACAGGAATGGGGGCTGTGCTCAGCTCATCCCAGGCTGTCTCTGCTCAGGGAAAGGGCTCCTCACCCTGTCCGAGCTCCAGTGTGGGGTCCCTCCCACAGGAGACACTGAATCCATGAACTGCACCAGCCTGAGAGCTTCCTGTGGGCTGCAGTCCTGCAGGAGCTGCTCCAGCCTGGATCCCTTCCATGGGGTGCAGTCAGGAGCTGCTCCAGCCTGGATCCCTTCCATGGGGTGCAGTCAGGAGCTGCTCCAGCCTGGATCCCTTCCATGGGGTGCAGTCAGGAGCTGCTCCAGCCTGGATCCCTTCCATGGGGTGCAGTCAGGAGCTGCTCCAGCCTGGATCCCTTCCATGGGGTGCAGTCAGGAGCTGCTCCAGCCTGGATCCCTTCCATGGGGTGCAGTCAGGAGCTGCTCCAGCCTGGATCCCTTCCATGGGGTGCAGTCAGTCCTGCAGGAACACCCTGGGTCCCTGTGGGGTCACAGCAAACCTGTCCTGGTGTGGGCTCCTCTCCCCACGGGTCCCCAGGTCCTGCTGGGAGCTGCTCCAGTCTGGGGTTGCCGGGGTCAGAGCCTCCTCCAGACCCCTCTGCTCCAGGCTGGGGTCTCCAGGGGCTGCAGGGGGATCTCTGCTCCATCCAGGAGCCCCATGGGCTGCTGCCCGGGCTCAGGGCAATGTCAGCTGCAGCTCCCAGAGCAGCTCCTGCCCCTCCTGCCCTGCCCTGGGGCTGCAGAGCTGCTCCTCTCACACATCCTCACCCCTCTCACCCAGCTGCAATTCCATGGGGATCTTCTTCTCCTTCCTAAATGTTCTCCACAGGCACTGTCATGGGTGGGCCCAGCCTTGGCCAGGGGTGGGTCTGTGCTGGAGCTGCCTGGAATTGGCTCTGCCGGACACAGGGGAGCTTCTGGCAGCTTCTCACAGAAACCCCACCACCACCAAACCCTGGCCATGCCATCACGWTGCAACCCAGAAATCTGAGAGTAAGAGGACAAGGTTGGCCTTCTTTTTTAGTCTTTCTTTTCTTGCCCTAAGTAACAAGAATGATCTGAGCTCACCTCCAGCAGTTTGCAGTTTTACTTTCAATAYAATGGCTGTAGAAAATAAAAGGCAATAACCAAAGAACAATAATTCTGCACCTGAAGACATCTGATTTAGATAAGGGCTCAATACTTAACCAGCTACAATTAAAAAATAAATAAGATTTCAAACCCTTGGGAAAATTGTGGTTTGGAGACCACTCAGGCTGAAATGTGATAATGAATGATGGAGCCCCCAAGGCCTCATTTCATCACTTGGCAGTGAGTGTTTTCAGCTCAGCAAAGACAAGCACACTTGTGCAGATAAGTGGAAATTCTGCCCAAGTCAGGGCCCTTTTTTAGGCATTTCTTKGAGTTTCTCTTCAGTTTCCGTGCCAGTTGCCACCTGTCAGGTTGTCCTGGTTGAAGCGTGTACCAGGACAGGCTGTCCTGTGCCTTCCCAGGAGCTCCCAGTGCTTTCCTTTCCCACTCCCACCATTGTTTATCATACCACTGCTGCGGGTTTTTTGTTGCTTATAACTAAGAGGAAACCCAAAAATAGCCTCTGAGCCATGGGCATCTTTGTGGGGGTCCAGCCTTGCCAGGGAAGTGTAAGGGTGGAAGAGGGGTTATGGGTCTCCTTTAGTGATGGTGGTTCCCTCTCTGAGGACATGAATGCAGAGAGATGAGGAAGYATTTCAGATACACAGTAAATAAACAGGAGACTTCTGTCCCCTTTAGACATTGGGTAAAATGCTCAGATGGTAAATCTCTTCATTGTCTTCCTGGGTTTTGGCAACTTTGAAAAAAAAAGCCCAGTTATGCTGATTCAGAGTTGTACAGGATCTCCTCCAGAAGAGGAGATCTCCCCAGTAAGG